CGAAAGAATGTTTTAAGCCCATTTATTGCTTTGTTTGATCACTAAACAGTCTTTCCGTCATTGTCATTATATCTGCTCTGTAGCAGGTTGTGCCTTTCTTATATCCACCTCTGATGTGTGGATAGAGAGTAGTTTGACTTCATTCTTCTGAAAGTTTATGTGATTCTAGTGAGTACCTGAATATATCTAATCTCGGTAAACTAATGGCTTCCGCTCATCGTTTCTGGATTGCAAGACGGATATTGTCACATCGTTCTGTCTTTCCATGTCACAGGGGTTTTATTTTTCTTGGTTCAAACCCGGGGGTTGTACCAATATTTCTCAAAACATAAGTTTACACTCTAGCGAAGGTTGTTCTGAGCTTGCAGCATCCTGGTTTGGTTGGCCTTTAAGGTTGGTATTAGAGATTTCCTCGGCTTGTAATTCGGTGTGACCGTCACCGTAAGGCCGTCCTACAATACAGATCCCTTGATTTGTAAGTTTTCGTTTATTTGAGACCTTATGGAGATATTCAAGTTCGCCTGTATATTGCTCGCTGCCATGGCCTAGGAATATTTCCCGTCGCTTCGAAACTCGGTTTTGAGTACTTTTCCCTATTCTAGGTAAGAGTTACGGCTAAAATCCCTAATACACCTTCCATTTTGTATATATCAAGCATTTTGTGCTTCGTTTAAACAAGAATATCCTTTTACTAGGTGTTTTCTCAGGACGCACATAGTACAGAATGCCTCCCGAATTACAAGAGAAGTCCAATTTCAAGAGTTTTCTGCCCCCGAACCGCCTCCCGGAGTCACCTACATTTTTATTTAGTCCTGATTGAGTATTTGTATGTTACAGTTGAAACAACTAAGAAGACTGCTGTTGACTTAGACGGTTATACCTAGGACGTAGTGGGTTAACCTTGATATGATTATGATTGTCTAATATTTTATTGTGATTACCTAGTAGCGAGAAAAGAAGCAGTTAATGTCGATACGTGTTTAATTATTCCAAGCTCTAGGTGAGAAGTAGATATTTTCTCTTGTTGGTGATAGGTTAGTGAGGTCATATCTTTCTCGAGGAGCGCTCCTCAACTTGATTCGATGTTAAAATTTTACGTGAGGAGCTCGTATCAAGCCTCATGTCACCATGCGGTTATGTGTACTTAGACTTATCTGGTGTGGGTATTCTGGTCATCCGTTTCACAAATTCTGACGAATGTGATCGTTGCTAACTCCTTTTTTCCAATTACTTTAAAGTTGTCCAATGTGGGTGGTTTAGTCAGGTCGGTTGGAAGTGCATACTAAGGGGAGCCTACTTGTTTTGAGCGAAAAAGCAATCATACCCAGCTGTTAGCTACTCGTTTCTCGTGGGCTGCCTCAAACAGAGCAATTTTAAGTTTTCAGTAGAATGGTTTGATTTGAACTATCAGAAGTCTCTGATATTTCATAAGGCATAACAGGGTCGCCTCGTATTTGTCTGTAACTAGGAGAGAACAATCTTTTGCAGAGAAACAGACCTTCATCAGTTTTCTTCCTTAAACTATGCCCTTGCCTCAAGAAACTTAGAGCCCTCTCAATGAGAGGGGGTACGACAGTTTTGCAAGTTCTAATAATAATAATTTATTCCGAAATAACAGTTTGTTACATGAGGCATGCCGGTTTACAATGTAAGCGAGTGTGGGTTTTTAAAAGGAGTCAAAAGGGGCCCAGGAGTCAGCGTATATCGTTGCCTTTGGATAAGGTGAAATGTAAGATTGATTTCATTCTCTCTGGTAGTTCTTAGCCGTGTCCAGGCATTCCGTCATCGACATGCACAGGTCAGAGTCCACCGATGTCTTGGCATGGAGGTGACTGCGTGAAAAATAGTCAAATTTTGTCTCCCCTTCTACTCACAATGGCAGCATATGATATTTCTGGCGAATGAATGTCAAACCGTTCTTGGATGCCTTTCTTTCTCCAATATTGTTAGATCTATTTGAGGTTAGTACGAACCACCCTCGAAAATAACTCATCTCCACAGTCTGATATGGTTCAAGTATATAGGGATCGAAGAACTCGGGTTTACTACAAGATAAAGCATGGGTGTCGACAACAACACAGAACCAAGTATGGCACTTTGTAAAACTCCCTTTCACTAGATTTATTCGTGTTAAATTTAACGCCTTTAATGTGGTTGTTTAAAAAAAGAAAGAGAGCATCTGCAAATCCTGTCTTTCATATAGTAGCCGATAGATTAAAGTGTGACACTGCGTCAGACAATTTAACGAAGTTCGAAATGTTATCTGTACAAGTATGTTCTGATACCAGTACTGAGTTCGGCTGACTCACTCTGTTAAGTCGTTTGTGACGCACAACTTACTTTTACTGAGGCCTTGCTGTACTGCACGAGGGAGTCTATGGAGGTATATAGTCACTTACATCACTTTATAAAAATTTCGATAATACCTGGAACACCAACACAAACATGTAACAACTTGGATCCTTTTTGTCACCCCCTTCAAGATTGAAGAGTATATTACTCATCCTCACTCGCTTGGCAACGATCTAAATTGTAGTAAGTGTTGTGATAAGTTACTTCTTAGATGGTAAAGACGTTTTTATATTCCCTGGAAATGATGTGCCATGTGATATCGTGGTATAGAGACTTATCATATCTAAGCCCCACAAAACATCCTTGGACTCTTCCTGGTGTAACACGTTTAGTCCTTTATGGTGTTTGTACGATCTAATGATCATTTTGTACTTGATGACTGCTTGATTTTGAACTCAAAATACAATAACTTCGTTTTTGCTCATCTAGTACTTCCTGGCTTCCTGAGTTATATATATATATATATATATATAACACTAATTCATAGGAAATAGATCCACCTTTTAGCCAATGAAATGCACTTGTCCTTACGGTACGTCTGATTGCCATCGACTGACCTCATTGGGCTACTTTTGATTAGCTCTCTACCTTTCCCTTCTGAAAAATAGGTCTTGTTCCTTGGATTTAACTAAACGCTTTGACGGGAATGTAGACGTCTTAGACAATTTTCTTGGGGCCTGGCCTTCACTTCTTACGTACCAATGCAGATGCTCTAATCTGACCGTATCAACTAAATAATTTAGTTGCAAGTCCCAGTTGGAGGGCTCTCTATCTGAATTTAAACGTCTGGTTTATATGTCTCCCATTAGTAAACTGATGTTTAAGTTTCTTCGCCTAGGGTCTATAATCTCGAATCCCTCTTTATGAATATATGCTATCAAATGAAGTGGGATTCTTCCTTCCGAACGTTGACTCGGCAGGAGAGGCATCGTTGGATGAGGCTGGCTTCAGGTTTGTTCCTGTTGATTTCGTCGTTCGTGCCCTACCCTTGTGATCATTTTGAAAATTACTAGAAAACATCTGTCTTTATTTGTGCATCATATGAGGATAGGAAGATACTCGGTTGAAAATAAGATTGAATGACGGATTCAGCATTTTTGAATCTGGATTACAAATAAGATTAACTGGACGATCAAACATTTTTAATGCTGTGTTCCGGTTGAGATCCTATAGATTGATGGATTCGTCAGTAACATAGCATTTGAATTTGTTCGACCGTACATCTGATTATTCCGTAAATTTGGGTTGGGATGCCCAAAGCATTCTTTACGCAATCGTTAGTTGAACAAATGCTTTACCGATCAAGTTCGTGCCAAGTTTTGTGAGAAATCAAATTAGCATCGGATGCAGTGTCCGACTGCCAAGTGATAATATGATCATTAACATTAATGGACAAATACATGTGTAAGCATTGGCGGTTAGATCTCGACAATACATGTAAACAATTGATGCTTTTTGACACTCAACAGAAGGTTGAGGGTTTGCTGTGTTTGTGAAATCCCTCCATATGGCCAGTTACTCCTCATTTTGCGCATTTATGTTCGTTGAATCGGCAGAAACGGGAACAATGCCGTACCCCACAGTTCCATCAGCTAGTGAGAGGCCTTGTAGGACGATGCGAATTAGAGTCACGAACATTATACATTCGCAAATCATGTTTTGCCACACTAATAGTGCGATCTGAATAAGAAATTTTCATCAAATCAAATGAATTGGGATTTAGACGTTTTATCATTTTATTATGATTCTTAAGACCAATAAAACGACGACATTCATTTGTGATATCTATTCATATAATCGAAAAAAGACCTTGAACACTTTAGAATGTTTTTTGCTCAAGTCACAGGTTGTATACACATCAAACATCATGAACTTTCACATGAAACAGTGTCAAATGCTTTTGCGAATAAAAATTCATAGTTTAGAACATCCAATGCATAAAGTTAACATTGTGGTTGAAACAATGAAGATTGACATTATTCGGGACTACACGAAATAAATCTGTGAAATAAAGAAGGCAGACTTTTAACTTTAACTCTTTTAAAAGTCAAGGTGAAAGTACCGAATTTTAAATCCTGTGTAAGTTAATGTAAATATGCGAAACTGACATCAATCAATCCAAATATTAGATGCCCATTGTGAACCCACCAGCTCAGAATCACTGAAATCAAAGGAATGTGATTCCAATCAAAACTCAACTCTTATTTTATGTTATAAAGGTATGGGAGTCCGTTGAAAACATTATCCTAGTTAGACACTGGTGGAGTCTCGATAAATAGTTTCATAACGACTAATGGCGAGACGTATATTTCGGTTAATAGAGACTATCAACTCGACCAACAAATGATTGTTTTTTCTGATGAATTGAATAAAAGGACTCAGCTACTAGACATGATCATAATGCTTAGGACAAGAGATGACATCAGTTAGAACGGATTTTTAAACACTGTTGTTAGAAAGGGTTAACTGTACTGTTATATAAATTGACAAAATTAGTTTTGACAGGTCAGTATTATCGGCTCATAACGTGTTAACGAATAAGGTTCCTAAATAGAGGACCGGCATCTTCTGATAATTAACCATTGTAAAGATAACTCAGACAAAACATGTTTTAAGTCGTATCACATAAATATATTTCCAACGAATTTGCTGAATTAACATGAGTGACCAATCAATAACCTCTCCGGAAAATGTTTTACAGTCACATCATTTTACAATCTATATATATTTCATATAGGTAACGACTTTATTTGATTTACAGTAACTTTATAAGCTCATTCACTTTAGATAAGTAATGAAGTAAATGTTTACTACAAAATAAGATGTAATCTGAGTAGTTTGTTTTTTCTTCGCACGTAACGTTTGTATATGTTCATCAAAAAATAGTAGTATATCAATAAGACGTTGTTAAACTACCAGAAAAACATAATAGTTTGGAATAGTTAGTGTGCGGTAAAAGTTTTCCAGTAAACTGTAGGACTAAATGACATTGGACGATTTTCACTACCAACTTCAAAAATGGAAAACAAAACAGTTTTATTATATTTGACATTGAAACTGTTGATTGCTTTAAGTAAAAATCTCGCAATAGCTGAAATACGCTTTATAAAATACAGCTTAGTTGGTTTTTTATCATAGCTGTAAATAAAAACATATATTTTAGACTGATTACCGAATAAATGGTGATAAGTAAATTAACAATATATATCGCAATACTTACCTTAAAGATCATAATTGATCAATAGCTGAAGTCATATTTTTAATGTTCTTAATGTCAACCAGATATTTGAAAATTTTGTAGTTCTCCAATTTATTTCGATTAATAATTTACTTTTATCTGAAGGGACTAATCACATAGAAAATTTGGAGCTTTGAAAGATATCATAAATAACTGATATTTTTAAGTTTGTACTCAATTGTCTACTTATTGAAATGTTTATGGTTTTATAAATTTGGTAAAACAGGCAAATGATGAGCTCTATAAGATGTTGTCAGTAAGATTATAAAGAGTTTATGTTATATCCCAGCGAAGACATAAGTATGGGTACTCCCAGGACCTATTATTGGACGATTATTCTATATATATTCTTATTGTATAACTATTCAGTAACTAGATTGTGTATATCTATATTAATCTTATTATAAGCTATATTTTGACCTATGAATTATCATTATAAGATTTACTGTTCCTAAACTATACTCAGTTTATTGATTATTGTCCCCCACGCTCACAGCCACATTTGGCTTGATTTTGTACAAATATTATTTTCTATTTTATGGTGTGATGCGGTCTGTCTGTCTGGTATATAAACGAAGTATATTTGAAATAAACGATTCGCATAGATTCGCATAACAGAAGCTGTCATTGGTGTACTGGACTCAAGTGGAAGGGCTAGGCGGATAAAGGACCAATAAGGACGCTAGATTACTCATACTGATCGAACGTCATTGATTGTCACAGTGTTAAGGTCGAAGAAGTCGTATTTCCATTGGTGGATAATTCACGCGAGTTACGTCCTTGTTTAATTTGTAAGGTCATAACAAATTAGCGACGACCTTGGTCAAGACATAACAGTTTATGTTTGGCTGACCATTATGTTCAACGACTTTTTATCGATTTATTTCCCTTACACTATGGTTTACAGTAAAATTCAGTTTAAGATATGACGATATAGTCAGGCATTTACACTCCAAGCATCCGAGCAGAAACGTTTATTGAAACTAGGGAAGGATTTTTGAAACAAACAGGTTTTTATTGGTTTTGAAGAAAATCCAAGTTTCATATTGTATCCTATTGACTTCATAGCTAATCTCAAGGAAAATAAATTCATTTATTAGCCGCTTTGAATGTCATAAGTAAGAGTGTTTTAGCACCTAGCTCAGTCTTATATTTAGTGAAACAGCCAGTCTAGGAATTTCATAGTAAAAGTACACTTCGTAGATTAAATTTTCACTTTGATGATTATTCCAATAAGGTAAACATATTGGGTATATATAAATGAATCATTCTTGAGAAGATCCATACTTGTGAAATGAGTCTCATCACAATAATTGCCATGATGTTTTCCTTAACTCCATTTTGGTATATAATTCCCAATTAAACATTAAAATTAAAACACAGATTTCAGCGAAGGGATCTCTTTTCAACGAATTTATTATCAAGCTGTACAATCGTATATATATATATATATATATATATATATATATATATATATATATATATATATATATATATGAAAATGTTTTGTTAAAGTACTAATTCCGTGAGGAAATGTGAACACTAATAACCAAGATTATAATACTGGATTACGTAATATGAATAACAACAATAGATTTAGTGAACATAGTAAGACGGATAAAATGTTTTGGTTACAATAATTAAAGGTCATTAAAGGTCATAGAGGTGTAAAATAAATAAATAAATAAATAAGGTGTTGGGGATGTCAAATCCCCAGAACTTACTTGGTAAATGGCTTAATCTTGTAATTTTATTTTGAAACTTTGAATTTAGCTGTTTTCGCGCCAAAAGCGCTCTTTTTACCTTCACGTCATTTTCCCACTTGTAAACTATCTTAAACGCTATTGGTCCGTTGTTTCTTTGTGTGTGCTATTTACTAATAATGCTCAAGGACAATTTGTTGCTGTATAAATGCGCTTGACTTTTCCCCTTATTGGATTGCTTGTACTCGGCTGCTTACGGAATACATATATATTCCCCTACTTGCCTTGGACTTCTTACTCTAGTTAGCTGGGTCTGGGTCGCGTCAGTATAGCTAGTTATCGGTCTCTGGTCACGTGTCTTTGTTCCGTTCGTTACTAGTGAATTCGTAACGCTTCAGACATAACATAAGGTGATGAGTATTCATGAATAAAATAATGAGAATATAAAACATAAGTAAAGGGGGAATGGAGTAATAATAATAATAAAAGAATGATGATAATAATAATAATAATATTAAGGCCATGGTAACGATAATGATAAAACGTACTTCTTTTGTACGCATAGTTCTGACAACATAGTTCTAGGTATTCCAACTGAACACTTAAAAGAATTATTGTTACGTTGTACCTTTAATGTCCAGTTCAGTTTCAACAATGAAATATATAGACAAAGAGATGGGATCGCAATGGGATCTCCTTTAGGTCCAATTCTAGCAGACTGCTTCATGGCAAAACTAGAAAACGATCAACTCAGTTCAATGATAAGTCGATTTCAACTATACGTAAGATACATGGACGACACATTTGTCGTTTGTGACGATAATATTGATTTGGACAATATCTTACACTTCTTCAACTCATGCCACCCTTCCATAGACTTTACATTAGAAAGAGAGAGAGACCAATCAATCCCTTTTCTTGATGTACATCTATTGAGAAGAAGCAATGGTTTTTTAAAAAGATCTATCTTTAGAAAGCAAACATGGAACGGTCAACTAACCAACTTCTACAGCTGGGTTCCATTAATTAGAAAGAGAAACTTGATTCATTCTTTATGCTATCGTATACATCGGATATGTAGTACAGAATGCATCAACGAAGAACTAGCGTTCCTCAAGAAAACTTTGTTGAAAAATGGCTACCCAGACCGGTTCATAGAGAAGAATATGAACAGAAGTGGCGTCGATAAGAATCCTAGTTATTCAGTGCCAAAGAAAAGCCTTTATATAAGTCTGGAATTTAAAGGTGATCGAACATCAGACATAATTAAAAATCGTTTAACAACAACGATTAAAAGGACATTTAACGCTGCAAAACTACGAATAACCTTCACCAGTAAGAACTTAATTTCTGTATCCATAAAAGATAAGCTTCCGCGTTTGGTCGCCTCCATGTGCATCTACCAGTTCACCTGCTCTTGTGGAGCAAGATACATCGGCCGTAGCCAGCGCTCGCTTTCAACCCGGATACGAGAACATATACCAGCTTGGTTCTACAATGGTGGAAAGAAAGCAGTTCGAAGTTCTATACTCGAACACCTAATCGACTGTAATCATTCGACGAATCCACAGTCTGATTTTAAGGTTGTTTATATGATTCGTTCAAATCTACCAAGATTTCTTCGGATCAAACTTTTAAAAATAGCCGAAGCTCATACCATCCATGAGCTCAAACCAGAACTATGCGTACAAAAGAAGTACGTTTTATCATTATCGTTACCATGGCCTTAATATTATTATTATTATTATTATCATTCTTTTATTATTATAATTACTCCATTCCCCCTTTACTTATGTTTTATATTGTCATTATTTTATTCATGAATACTCATCACCTTATTTATTTATTTATTTATTTTACACCTCTATGACCTTTAATGACCTTTAATTATTGTAACCAAAACATTTTATCCGTCTTACTATGTTCACTAAATCTATTGTTGTTATTCATATTACGTAATCCAGTATTATAATCTTGGTTATTAGTGTTCACATTTCCTCACGGAATTAGTACTTTAACAAAACATTTTCATATATATATATATATATATATATATATATATATATATATATATATATATATATATATATATATACGATTGTACAGCTTGATAATAAATTCGTTGAAAAGAGATCCCTTCGCTGAAATCTGTGTTTTAACTCCATTTTGACTAAACTTGAGTGAATATTTTAGTCATGCTCATCGCTCTGTCGCTAAATCCTTCTACCAAGCAACAACCACTTTAGTAGTCGTCTGAACTGCAAGGTTTATAAAATCTCGGACTATGACTCTTAATAAACCCATGAAACCTACCGTCATACTAAAATGTTTTCAGGCACTTTTTAAAATATAATATATGTAATTATTGTGATCATGCAACTCTGTAACAATGAACCTAGAACAACCTATTTCCTATTCATAAAAAAATGAAAAAAACCTGTTTTTACAAACCAAGATTTCCACTTTCTCATCTTCCATATAGAAAAATTGCATCTTTACAATGCTTTATGTAAAACATTTTGGTGTATTTTAGTTAATTTTAGCACACAAAACGGTGTTTCGTAAGCAGATAAATTAAAATATGAGGAAACAATTTAAACCACGCCCTAAATGGGAACTAAATCATGGTAACAATGCAATTACATATATTTATACCAGTATAGTTTTAAATTTGGATGTTAGAGCTCAAGTTTATTTCTTTTCTTATTGTAGAAACTATCGTCTACATTTCCATTCATTTCTGTACTCTTTGAATTTTTTACAAACAAACTAACGAATGTACCTTATCAAGTGTGGCTTAGTTCTTTAATATCTAATTGGATTGTTGATGGTACTGAGTATTTTTCTGGCTATAAACAGTTTGTATTTTACGTCACTGTAATAACTGACAATTACCTTGGTAAATAAATTCTTATTCCGAAGAAGCACTATTTTCTAGTGAAGAGTTATTTAAACTACATTGGATATTATACAGAATTAATGAAAGAAAGATTCAAGTGCGTTCCGTTTCATCATCTAACTCTTATTTTGAGAATGAAACAGACCTTTAGTATGTTCAAGTTTCGTAAATTCATGATGTTTTAGACGCATAAAGGGTTCAATATGCGGACTGACATTCTTACATAAACAAATACTTTCAATAACATTCATGAAAACAGGGTGATAATTTTCTATCATTTTTTAAATTATCTGATATAAGTTGATTGATTTTAAAGAACTATTAAACCTCACTTTATGAGTATTAGCTGCTACTTGGTGGTTTCCTCGCCGACAGTACCCTGTATTTTTTAGTTGAACTGATAAAATGTAAGAATGGTAGAAATTTAATATATGAATCTGATATAATATGTTGTCAATATTCTGTTTCAGTCAATCAAGTGTTATTAAGTTACACTAGTCCGCAATAAGGGAATTCTTGAATTTACACCTACTGTAATAGTTGAAGTTTACAAACATGAGTAGCAAAAATGAAGAGGCTAGAACCTGACCTTTGTATTTAAAAAGGTTTGTGGTTAAAATCCAACTAACTTGATAACAAAGTAAACATCGTTAAGAAATTAATTTCCTTCTTTCATAAAATAAAATAAGCTATTCATTAATTTAAATGTTTTACCACAATACTTACGGAATTAGTGCTTATTCGTGACCTAGAAGTTAGTCAGTACCAATTTCATATGTTTTGTAGGTTAAATTTACCTCACAAATGATTTTAAAACAAAATTCTTCGAAAATAAATTCATTTAATACCTATTATCAGAAAAGCCAATTTACCGTAGACGTGAAACATCTAGCATGAACTATGATGAGCTTTTATACTAATTCTTCGCTGGACCATACCTATTTGTTTTGTGCGGAAGATTTACATTAGAATATAAACAAAAGCGACTAATAAGATTGGACATTGTACTTTCCATAACATGCTAGTTACTCCTAAAACAGATCGTGATTTACTGATCTTGACAATTAACCATAATACAGTATCTAGGTTATTCAGTAATTAAAGGATAAGAATTCCGACAAAGGAAATTTACTTGTTAAAAGGAATCGAATACATATTCATTGTAAAAGAAGTGGCTTTAGCTTACTAGTTCAAAACGTTTCGGACACTCTCAACTTGCTCAAATAGTTACATTTAATACTAACTACCAAGTAAATACTTTATTAGGAAAGGCTATTTTCCATAACTGCTTGTCGTTTATAACTCGAGTTAAGTATTACACTTGCGTGGATTTTTCGAGAAACTGAGTATCCAGATTACCGTTAGTTATTAGTATGATAAAAGTTATTGCTATAAAATAATTTTCTTTGTTCCATTTCTTGAAAGCTGCCAGGTTAAAAAACCTTTCCTGAAACTCAACATTTGAGTTTACCTAGAACTCTACATCTATAACCCTTATCCGAAAATTGATTTAAAACACACATTTTAGAAAACAATAATAGATAAAGCTAGAGGATGACACTATCTTGACATACAGAAAGTTTCAACAATTCATAGTCTGATGCATATGTATGAAGGAAAGGATTTATCGCTTTGAAGATAGGTATCACCAGGTATCCGGGTTTCAGGTTTACTGTTTTCATAAAATAGTCACAGTGACTTATGTACTCAGAAACTTTTACAGTGTCATCACGCTAAAACGTCCCTTAATTTTGATCATCATTAACCATACTGTTTGAGTTTATATTTTTTATTCGTGTGATGTATAAAGTGCACAATATTATTTCTAATGCCTATCAATCTCTTTATGTGGATTTGTGAGGTATTTAGTGTAAACATATAATTCGCTTTGCATAAGAGTATTCATTGTCGCTTCTTTCAAAATTTATCTGACAAGAACAAATGGATATAGTATGTCACAACAACATTTTACTCTTACTCCCAATATTAGTTAGACTTAATTGTCGAATTTGGTGTGGGTCTTTTAGGTAAGCTTTAACAAATATTAAATCAATTTTAATGAAGTAAAAGGCACATGAGAGTTGAAACATAAACTACTTACTGATTTGTCAGAAGTTACTTTCAATACTTCATGATAAAATAATTACTGACTACATAAGACAATAAAAATTAAAATGTATTGGTGGCCATAAGTAAACTGTATTCATCTATGATTTTAAACAAACACTTTTTGGTATAACGTTATATATACAAAGAAGAGATATAAATCAGATGTCGCAGTAGAATATCAATGCCTTCTTAACCAATTAATTCATCATTGCTATAACGATCATCGCGGTTGTCTTGTTCAAGTGTTTTCAGTACTTCTTCGAACGTGTTACTACATGGTGCAGCTAAATCACATGCCCGTAAAGGAGATAAACATCTCTCGAATTCAATGGGTTCAATTATGATATCGTCCAGTAAAGATGAACTTGAGCGTTGATGATGAGAAGAATTTCGTGCGTGACTATCAACTAGATTGAATGATACAGAATGACGACGTGGTGAAACAGAAACTTCCGGTATAGACTCAGGTATATTAAGTGTATAAGGTAAAGATCCTCTGGAACCTTTTGATAAATATGGTTTTAAATAATTAAATTTATTATTGAATGAATGAATCTTTTGATCAATATACATGTGAGATAAAAATGGAGGTGTATCATGTGAAGTAAGCGAATCGTCTGATGACATTTTACTACTGTCCATATTTACGTGTGAAGATACCAAAATGAAAGGCTTCCGAGATGAAATTTGCTTTAGCTCTTCCTTGTTTCTATTCATAATTTGGTAACATTTATTATAAAATAGATTTGTAACTAGAAGTATCAATTTTAGGGTATTATCGTTTATTTAAATCACAGATTTCTTATATGTTCCTTTTCATATTCAAACAGTGGACTATAATTTATGAGGGTTTAAAAAACCTGCTTAGAAAATTCACAGTGAATTAAATTGGTAGAATTCTTCGTATCAAATAGTTGATCTAACATCCGTAAATTACACTCGTGCAAACATACAAACAGTACAAGTTTTCTATTGTTTTAGCTATGTAGTGATATCCAAGGTCATTTAAAGTTGCTATTCTTTCGCTCAATATTAAAATGATTGGTTAATTGTTGTTCTAGTTGTGTACCCTCTCCTGATAATAAAAAACGATAAGCAATATATGAGTGTACTCCAATTTCTTACCAAGACCATAAAATACCTACAGCTTTAATATATATATATATATATATATATATATATATATATATATTGCAGAGCCAGAAAATACAGCTGTGCAATTTACGAGGTTGCTAGGATGCAACATTTCATTGTAACAAAAGCAAAGCTCCATATTTGTTGAGTTTTATTTAACAATGACAAATTGTTCAATAATTTACGTAAGCTTTGAACTATTGTTTGAAGTTAAATAATTAATGTGAAAATACAATAATAGTAACATAGTTTCAATAAATACCCTTTTGAAAATGGACGAATTTTTAAGGTGATAACCTTTTTTTCAGAAAATTTCATTTGATCTAGCCAAAGGATGTAAGTAGTTTAATTCAATACACAACGGAAGGTGAATGTCAACTGTCATTATGGAATAAACAAATGGAGATGTCAGCCTATTTTAAAACCTTTTCGATTATTATAACCGTTGACTATTGCACCTGCGAACTTGTACACTTCCTTGATTCATATTGTTATGAACATGAACACACAGGTGGGGACAACCAAGGTATTTTAATACATAATTACAGAATGTCTTTGTAAAGTACAAAAACCGAACATTGTATGTTTCATTTGCAAATTTCCATCATCTGTCTTTCATATTCTGTATTATTCTTCCTAATCACAATTCCTTTCAATTTCCTTTTCTATTCTCTTCAAACTGATCTTCTTAGTTTTCTGTTGCCAGGGTTTCTCCTTCCTATCGATGTTCCATACTACTTATGTCTGTCGACATAAGTGGCATACACCACAATATGTCTGTTAGTAATAAAAATTTATGGTTTTGATGAGATGATTTCCAAAGAAATACAAGCTACCATAAGAAATATGTGATGGAAAACTGTTTAAGTTATGAAAACATGGATGTCAAACAGTACAAATCATTCCATGCTTTGAACCGATGGAATGAATGTGAATAAATGATCGAATTTCAGTTGGAGGACAATACTACCTGCATAGTAGTATTGAAATACAGGATCGTAACACATACTGGTTGGCACTACCTATTTTCAACTGAGGAACTCAGGATTCACCAGAACAGGAATGTTTAAGAAAAGATAACTGACCATTTAGAAGTATCCAAATGTTATTTCAATGGATCATTCAGAAGTAATTACTATAAGATTAAGGCATTTAAGTGTTATGATCAGTTAGCATCAATTTATGATTAAAAAACCCTATTCAGAATATACATTTCTTCTATTTGATCACTTTTCTTTGAACAAAAGAATAAAAATTATTCAAACTGCTAAAAACCCAAATTATTAAAAAGAACACCGTTCACTTCCTTAATAATGACGTCCACTATGTTTTATTTCATTTTGTAAATACGGTATTCCAACCTCACTTTCGGTTCTATTTTGTATGTGGGGACAGTTGCACTTCATTTAACATAAGAATGTATAGCTTTATAAATCAGATATCTTGTCCTGGAAAAGAACCTTGTAACGTGATTAGTGGGCGCAGTGATAAATTTATTGATCTAAATAATTTTATTACCAAATAAAGATATGGGATTCTGAGTGCAATTTAACAGGTCGTGTTACTGCAAAACAATAAGTGAGAAGAATTATAACACAATCTATATAAAATGACAACTTAGAGATTATAGACCATGGGTGAATCAGAATAATGAATTTTTGAATTTTAGCCTAATAACATAGTTCGACTAAATGTGAGTCAATGAGGAACTCTAAAGCTGTAGAAAACAAAGTTCTTCTTAAAGAACTTTATCCTAAATGAAATCACAACATCATTCACATCACTAACCGACTTAAATCAGACATCTATCGAAAATCAGGAAACACTGAAGTAATGCCAGTCTACATAGTGAATTGAATGACGTCAGGAACATACGCCATGAGATTTCGAGTTAGTGGTCCAGATGTTAGGTTCTCGGGAGTGAGACTTAAAGTTCTAAGCTTGGTCATTATTGGGGTCGTGGGTGGGCACAGCTATGTGGTCCCACACTAAAACGAAACAACTTTCCAGTTTTCTTAGTTTCCTGTGGATGTCTAGATTAAGTCATTCAGTGATATCAATAACCTTCAATAATCTCTACAAAATTCCATATTGATAGAGATCTCAGTAGTTACTCAGGACTTACAGATAAAGATATCTGATATCAAAGAAATCCTTTGAGTTTTATGAGTTCTCATTCAGAACACTCTGTAAGAGTTTTTGAATCCAAATATTTATCATTTCGTAATGTGCTTCCTTGGCATAATCATTAAATAACAGTCACAACAAAATTATTAAAGTGATTACAAATGTTCAACATTTTCGCAAGTTGTAACAATGTTTGGTGTTTATTTCTAAATCATTAGATTGACTTATAACATGACGAAGCATAACATGAGAAAACAAATCAAACCAATTTACATGTATTGTGGATCATACTGACATCAGATTGTTATACAAAAAGTTTCAAGCTCTTGATTAGTTTACTGGGATCTGTTTGTTCGAAAAGATAAGTTTAAAGATTTTTGGTAGTGTTATATTCTCTGGGTTGGACAGATTTTGCTTGAGCATTTTACTGTTTTTCTTGACGATGTTATACAGAAAAGTTCCAAAATGAAATAACCTGTTAAAGTATTTACACAGTCGATTAATAGCGTGCTCTCTCTATTTGAAAATTACTGTCAGTAATGTTTGTGCTATTGTTCTCTACATATTTTGTCCATATTCTGTTTACTATGAGAAAAATGATAAGCATTCTTCAAACTTCCATGATTTCACATTCTTTCTTACGGTACTGCAAATGATTTTCTCCGTTTGCTGATACCACCACGGCTCTGGGATTGATGAAAAACATCGATTATATCATGGTCAGCTGTTAAGTCTAGTTCCGTAATCCTTAAAGTAAATGAGTTTTGGCTTAAATTAAGTGATTTATAGTTATTTTATATTGTCATCCTCCCCACAAATAAAACGTGCGGAATAATGAAAATGAATATGAAAATCAGTTAGCGGTATAATTAGACAATAATCTGTTGCGGAAAATGTCTTGTACGAATTAATGTATTTGTGTTTAATAGTCATCTTGTTTTATACTATAATTTACAGACGTTTTGACACAGTTTCGATGTCAGTAAGCGCATTGAGATCTACTTATCTGTAGCGAAAATGTGTTTTACTGCCCATAATTTAAAATTGTACATTCAACAGACATTAAATGGCGAAAAATATGTATTAGTTGACATTACTTGTTAAATTCAGTGTATTGAACAGTTAGTGTAAGGAAATAGATTATCAAAACAGACTTTGTAAATTTATATGCCATGAACAATAACAGTATAATAACTATTGAGATATTGTCTTATTCCTCATAGTTGGATGATGTAGTCGAGATAAATATGTTTTATACTTTTACATCATTATGTGAACTATCATAAATATATCATCTTCCCTTATTGGGTAACTGAGTTGGTAACATATGTTTCTAAAATGCTGCGAATACCTGTTACTGATGAGGAACATAACTCATGAAACTGTAGCGAAGAAATCTATCATGAAGTATTATTCCAACCATCAAAGGTGGTATTAAATTTTGATTTAGAAACAAATAAACAAATAATTCATACTTTGGGTTCATTTCGTTTGGATATATATAAGCCAGTACTCACACAACTAATCAAGTATAGGTTACCGAAGATGGTCGCCTTCATGTGTGTATACCAATTTAACTGCTCCTGTGGAGCTAGTTACATAGACCGTACTCAGAAGGCTTTATCCTTGCGTGTTCGTGAACATGTACCAGCATGAATTCACTTGGTATTGTTTGTTTGGATCTTCCCATCGATGTGTTTCGGACTGCAACTGGTCAGTCTCTAATTGGCATATGTGCATACTGTGCGTATTGCCTCGATATACCTCGATATTACCTCGATATATAGTCCTGGATTCCATTGCTAGCCACTATCCATCTCTGCTTACCATGTACCAGCATGGTTGGGAAAAGGAGTCACCGAATCGATTAACAGCACCATCCTTTCTCACTTGGTAGATAGTGAACACCATATCAAAATAGAGGAACGGTTCTCTGCTTTACATGAAGTTCCGAAAAATCTACCTCAAGGAGCTAGATTATGGTTACTCTACATAGCCGAAGCCATCTGGATCAACTCCAGAAAACCAAACTTTGTATCCAGAAAAGGTATATCAAGCCTCTATGTTTACCTTGGCCTACGACTGAATCACCGGATACTTAAACTGAATATTATAAACCTCTTACTCCCCGCTTTTTTGATTACCTCTATCATAATCTTCACGTCCATCATTCCCAATTCGTTTATCGTAATTACCCTGATAACGCCCCTCTTATTACTTTTCATATTCACACATCAATCTTATTATTATTACTATTATTATTTATAAGTATTATCTCAATTGACAAAATGAGATTCTCCTACTACGCATTTTATTCACATAATTTTTTTCGGCATTTTCAATTTTTCCTAAATTACTATTCTACTGATTGTGACTGGACACTCTACTACAAATCATTTTGACATTTATTAAATCACCTTTCTAATTTACAAATAATAGAATTTTGAAGTATATATGTTGTAACAGATGCAAACGTTCACCATTTTTAACATTGTCAAATTAATTAATATATTCCTCATTTCGGCCTTTGTAAAATATCATAATAATTATGGACTTATAACTGTAGAGCCTGATGATGAAGTTGTTGAAAACAATTGTTCGCTCAAATATTGTTCATTTTTGAATATATATATATATATATATATATATATATATATATATATCACGTTTGGATTAGGATATCGAAATTTGGTGA